GTGACATTGAAAGCGTCATTTTGAAACTTCCCCAATTGTAATCATCTCGAATGACCTAGAAATTCCGAAGTTCTCGAATTTTAAAAACATAAGCAACAATGAAAATTATAATTAAAAGGTGCGAAAATTTTCTCTCACTCTCTTCGCCCCAAATTAACAATATTATTGTAAGAAAAAAAAAAAAAAATACGTAAGGCAAACAAGACGTGTACATTTACAGAAGAAAAATTACGAGGATGATAGAAAAATTTTTTCTCAAAGACTAAAAAATAACTAAATACTCCAAATCATGACCTTAACAGAGTATAAGCAAAGTCAGAAAGGAATTATATTTAAAAAAAAAAAAAAAAAAAAAAAAAAATCTGCGGGCTTACTAGACAAATATCTTTCTGAAGGTTCTCTAAAACGTTATTTTAACTCATGCGATAATAAAAATACGCTAGTAAAAACTATCATAAAGTGAGAAGCTAAACCAGCAGCAACAATGAATACTTTCATGAAAGAAAATGAAAAATATAAAGAAAATAAAAACCAAAATTAACGTCAACTAAAGCCTCTCGGCCAGTATAATGAAAAAGCAACTGCCATGGGTCACGGATACATAGCTAAAAATTTTAAGCAAATGAATACAAATGAAGTCAGCAATTGAATCGTTATGCAAACAATTCTTGAATTATTCATTATTTGTCATTTAATAAAAGTAAAAACAATAAAATAAATGTAACGCAGCATCAGAAAATCGAAGTGTTAGAGAGAGAAAATTAATTTTGTTTCATTTATTTTTATGAATTTAACAAGTAAAATTCAAAACAAAAACAAAAAAACAAAATAAAATATATAAAAAATAATCGACGATTTGAAGTTTAAAAATAGATTTGTGATGTAAAAATATAAGAACATCAAATTTTTATAATTAAAATTATTTTTATTTTTATCTTATTTAATTTTTTTAATATTTAATACAATTTTTCTAATTTAAACACAAATTGGCATTTTTCATTAAAGTACTTAAATTATCGTGAAAAATTTATCAAAAATATTAATGCAAATTTGAAAATTATTTAGAGAGAAATTATAAAGATTTAGATAATGTTTTCACAATAAAATGAACTAATAAAGATTTGTTGTGTAATTACTTAAAAAGTCATTTAAGGATATATAATAATACTATAATATAAAAATTTTCATATTTAATTTTCACCGCTAAAGTCATGTCCTAATGCTTTTATAAACACTTTTTTATACAATCTTAATAATGCAGATCAAAAATTAATATCGCAAATGATGAATCGTTAATTCCAATAAATTAATGTGTAGCGTTCATTATCGCGCCCCTCTATTACGTTGTAATTACGTAATTTGAAATACCGGTTAAATATAAATTTAAATAATTAATTAATCGATATGTAATTATTTTTTATGAAAATATCGAATTAATATTTATGTGATATGATTAATCAAATTATTCATGAATGTTGAATGTATTGTTTGAATAAATTAAAATCCAAATTTTAATCGGGTACTTATAGAATATATAAAAACTGCCTTCCCTGATGATAGTTGGTGTAAAAATCTAAAAATGGTTATAAATTTCATATTATATTAAATGTTTTTATTAAATATCAAAATCTATATGCATCACAAGTCTAAAAAATATTTGAAGAGATTTAAAAATCAAAATCTTTCGTTTCAAAATCAATAACAAATCAAGAGTGAAATGAGTCGGTTGCACAATATTAAAATTAATTAATACTATTTTATCATTGTTATTTATTACTAAAGAATCAGGTGATACGAAAAGCGACGAAATTCACGATATGTAAGGATGAGGGAGTAAAAAAGAAATATCTAAGCGAATGACAAGCGTTGTTAAACACAAAAAAAAAACAAACGAAAATAATATGAAGTAACAAAAAAGTGGGAGTGAGAGAAACAATTATAATTTAAAAAAGATGTGTGAAAACGAAAGGATTTGGATAATGCGTATTATTTCTTGAAGCGTGATATAAGTTGCAATGAAAAACGGTAAAAACGAAGAAACAAATTATAAAGAATAAAAAATTATTCTGGTAAAGGATTTATATACTCGATTGTCGAGGTATTAATACAAAAGAGAAAAATTGATTTGTTACTTAAATTAGTTAAAACGACCCTTATATTGATTATTGTAATTATAAAATAAATAATTATTATCGTAATAGTTAAAAATTAACAAGTTGTTACCGCTTTGTTATACACGATATTATTAATATACTAAGATTATAATACATAAATTTTAAGCGGATGTATAGTTAATTAGACCCTTATTTATCTTAGGCTTCATGATGTTCTCTTCGTCTACATACTTATCTGCCTACCATTTGCCTTGTGCCTCTATTAGTTTTCATCAATGTTGAGAAGTTCGCAATTTTTTTATTTTAATTTATTATTAATTTTGATCGACTTAATAATTGATCTTTCCAACATACGTTAAATTTGATTATACCGGAGCCATATATATATATATATATATATATATATTAAAAATCTAAATTATATAAATATATTTTTCCGTCAACGAATAATCTTGTGTCAGTTAATGTGGCTGTGTACGTGAATCGTCGATAAAATCTGCTCGAGTGGATAAGGATTTTGTTTTTAAGAAAAACATAAACACAAGTAATAGGCGATGCAGCATATTCAATACGCGTCACTAAATTTTAATCATTCTAAAGTCATTTAAAATAAAATATAATGCTTAAAATATTATTTATTTTTCTTTCATTTGAAATATTCAGTACATAAAATCATACAAAAAATCTCAATAAAATGTTCAAAATATTATTGCAAAATGTTTATATAGATTATGATTTATTAAACAAATTTCGGTTAAAAAAATTTGTTATTTAAGAAATTTTAATGAGTGAGTAAATTTAGTCAACAATAAAAGACACTCGAAAGATAATTTCAAAAACCATAAAAATCCTTTTAAACTCATTAGAGTATTAAAAATAGTTTAAATTAGTAGTGCAATTTAAATGAAATATAACAACGAAAAAACACCGACAACGTATAATTTACATATTTTTATAGAGAACAAAGACTAAATAAATAGAATTTCAACGTTCTAATATAATTACCTATAATTCTTTAATTGTAAATATTATTCCAATCTGTTGAACTTCTTTCGTCAAAATTTTTGTTCTACAATTTTTAAAAAAAATTTAATCACAGTTATTTTAAAGATTCTACAATAATGTTTTATTTGTAGTCTATGGTTCAAATTGATTTTTCAAATTTTTTGTTCACAAATTTTTTACAATAAATTTTATTTAATAAATTTATCATTAATAAGAACAAAATATATTTTAACATTAGAGAAATAAATAATGACATTTATTTTATTCAATTTATTTATTTCAATCAATCTATCATTATCAAAGTTTCTTCGTAAAAAGATTCTATAGTGTGATACACAAAGGTAATTAGAGTTTTTTTATATTACATGGTGTTCATATAATTCATTCTCTTATTAGTTTATTTCAATATATAAAAATATTTTTCAATGAAAATTTCTTTCTTTATCATGAAACATAAGTTCATAAGTTTGTTATTTGTTTATTGCTTGAGAAACATGTAACTTGATACTTTAATGCATATGTTATAAAATTATTTAATTAATTAATCATATTCTAAGTAATTGCAATTAAATATTTTTCTTTATCTTCCTATAAACTTATTTTATGGCATAATGATGAATACGTAGTCATATTATAATAAAATATTAGTAAATATTTTATATAAAATTTCGAAAAATTAAAATGATATTTCTTTATAAAAACTTTTTGGTTTATTCTTTGATTTATGAAAAAATTTACATTGACATATAATATATATATATATATATATATATATATATATATATATATATATATTTTTTTTTTTTTTTTTAATACCTATTAAGAATGTTTGCATGACTTAAACTACGATAGGAAATTAAAAAGACTTATTAATATACTAATATTATAATAAGGCACTATATTACTATATAATACTTTACTTATGTAAAGTAATATAATTTGTGTTTTCAATATGTTTAAAAATGTGTGCATTTAAACTTTTACATTCGGTACAATAAACTTTGAAAAAACCTTAACAATCAATGCAAGTGAATATTTCAAGTTTAGTTCGAATAGTGATTTTACATTACCAGTATCGAATTTAATTAATATAAAATTAACTTAATTTAAAAGTCTGTTAAGAATGTCAACTTAAAAACAGCAAATTTATTTCAGATTTCTGTTTTTCTTCATAACTTAGCACATGTAAAATATGTGCATTACCTTTATTTCGTTAGATATTACCACGAAGTATTTTTACTTCAAATCTAAATTGATAATTGCAATAAATAAAAATAATCACAGATTCTATTTGATTTTATAATTATCGTTAAAATTCAAAGTTTATGTAATTATTTGTTCGGATCAAATGCTAATCAAATTTGATCCAATCTTATTGATTTTGTACATATATCCATTTTATATTACTAAAAATATAACAATCGTTTCTTCTTTTGTATAGAAATATATTGAGTGATAAAAATATAGATATATTGATATAATTATCTGAACATTGCAAAGATTCTTAAGAAAATGTGATACCTTTAAAAAGTAATATTTTTCAAAAATATATATAGTTTAATATCGTATTTTGATTTAATCGAATACAAATTTAAATAAATTCAGACGTGGAATCAAGACACTATATGTGATTGTATAAATACAATATTAATCTATAAAAAAAACATAAATATTTTTCTTATTCAATTAACAAATTTTTTAATAATTTTTTTCATTAACAACAGTTTTCTATCAATAATTCAAACAGTTTTTAATACAGATAAATAGATAAATAGATCTTTTATACCCTATTTTTATTTCTAAAAAGATACAATTTTATTCTCAAAAAGAATTTATAAATGTAACCATTTTTTGTAAAATTATTGAAAAACTATTTAAAATATCTACAGAAAACCACTTAATTTTTCAACATAACTACATTGCAAGATGTTTACATAATTAATCTCGTAGGGCGTGCAATGTGAATGTTTGGATTACGTTTTAAATATTAAAATAAAATTATTCTTTTCTATCGGTGATGGGTAAATTCATCACTTGGTTGTTTCGGTCTTCGCCGCACGCATACGTATATTCCTGACATAATTAGTATTAATAATGGAAGACCAACGCCAATAGAAATAATCATAATAACTATATTAGAGAATCGTTCTTCTGGTGGGAATCCATATCCAACAATAAATGTCCTACAAAAAACATTAAACAGAGTTACAGTTTTAATCATATTACTCGTGAAAATAATACTTCCTTACCATGTAGCATATTGCGTTTCCTTATAAACATTATCTCCCTTACCACCTAATGATATATTCATCCTTTGGACAAGAATGTTAAACATGTTTTCTCCATAATACATATACAGTAAATTTGTATTACTAAAATAAATATCAGTTGTAGCATTTTTAATTGGATAAAATACAGTGCTGCTTGAATTTGTGACATCTCGATCTGGTTTAATATAAGAAACGGGTCTCCACTGTAAATATGCTGATTTTTTATATATTACTGGTGTAGATAGTTCCAGAATCTGCGAAGCAACACAAATATCAAATTAACAATTTACTGAATAAGTATATTAATATTAATATATTAATGGTATGAAATTTAATATAGATCTTATTTGATATCATAATATACCTCAAAGATACCGGGTGTAAACTCATCATCTAATTTTCTCTTTGTATTGACTTCGAGCAATGTGTTTGGATCATTATCACTTACAATTAATAATTCAAATGCGAATCGACTTTTCGAAAAACTTCTCTCCGTTTCTATATTTTCTAGTGTAATATCAATTTGCGTAGCATTTTCAGAGTGCAACATACACGGTGTAATACGAGAATGATTCAAAGTGCCAAATCCATGCATCTAGCAAAAAAAGTAGGTTGTTAAATACGAAAATGTATTAATGACTACTCACAGATTAATTGTCTTATAAAATTTATAATTAAACTTACTAAAAACTTAATAATTCCATGTCTTCTTTCATTAGTTTCAGGATTGTGATATTTAGAAGCTTTCATATATAATTCAACAAAATTGTCTTTACTGGTTATATTTTTATAATGCCATTCAAAATTTTCAAATTTTAGTTCCTTGATGTTTTTATCAGTAGCTTCGTCGATTCTTGCTTTATCATTGATATCATTAAATTCAAGTAGCTATTAAAAAATCATTGATAAATTTTATGAAAAATTAAAATATACATTTTAAATTGTTTTCTTTTTAATATTTATAAAGGATCTTTGACTATATTTAATAATTATTGAAACAGTATTTTATACAAAAATATTTTAAACAACATTGAGCCTTTAAATATATAAAATCATACTACAAGTATTTATTGTCAAATTTATTAGTATACTTCTAATTAGTAGTCATAAAACATTGAAATATGTATTCTGAATTAAATATTTTATTTTTTAAATAATACAAATTCATTTAGTTTAAAATTATTACTTATGATAATCGATCAATAATCATTAGTAAAAATCTATTCAGAGTTAAATTATTATGAAATTATTATTCTTACCCTTTCTATTGAAACACCAAATATATAAATTGGCTTTTCAGTAAAATTTAATGAGTTTGGAATTCTCATTATGTACTTATGCCAATCAATCACAAGTTTAGCTGCAGGAGATGTAACAGCGATTAATATAGAAGGATTTTTTGTGAAGTCCCATAAATAATGTAGTGTATCATTTGGTCCGATGGCTGTCACATGGGCAAGTCTTACATTTGTATTTTTACAAAGTTCTTTACAATCTTCGTTAAATGCATAATTGAGCTGTAAATCACAATAATATTAATTCAAATTTTTATATAATGTGCATTATAAAAAATTTATTGACAAAGATTTTTATGCTAAATTATGACAGAATTTAATGCTTTTCAATTGTATTTTAGAATTTCAGTTTTTTAAATAATACATAACGACATCTTTGCTAAGTCATGATAAATAATAATAAATATACAGATGGGCCAAAAAATAAATAATTTATATCCATAATTTATTATATTTAGCAATATGTCTTAATCTTATATTTATAATGAATATCAATTACATATAGTTGAATACGAGATTATAAATAATATTATATTATAACTTTCACGCATTATAAATTATGAAAAAATTACAGCTTTTACTGGAAACTAATAATTAATGTGTTTTTCCTCCATTCATATTGATTAATAATAAAGATTAGATTTTTATCTAATTTAATCTTAATTAAATTACTAAATTAATACATTCATCAATTATTATAGTTTCATATTATACAGATTATAATTATAATTAAAAATTGTAATTAGAATTATACATAGCTAATAAATATTATATGATAAATAAAAATATCTATTATTTATATCACATGTAAGCAGAGACAAATTATATATACAATTGGATATAATACAAATCAATAATTTATACTGATTCGACTTATCAATTCTAGCTGCTTTACACGATACAGAGAAAATATAACAAACTAGATAACACGAAGCAAAAAATAATATATAATTAACCTATGTATAAAAGAGAAGAGCTTATGAATAAAACATAAAACCATTTAATTTTACGGTGTACAATTTAACTGGGTAAATAGTGCACTAATATATATTTTAATAAATAAATATTAATGAAAATAATATATAGATTTAAAGAAATAAAATCTTCCAATTCCAGTAAAAAAAAAATGATAATGATTATTATCATATTTACTGTTATAAACTAGGGTGCAAAATGTAAAGTTTTGAATTGATTTTATTGACAAAGCAATTATACCTAAGTATTGAAGTAAAAATTATATCCAAATTAAATTTAAAAATATAATTAATGTAAAGAAATTATTTCGGAATTTTTGCTTGTAAAGTATTTTAAAATAAAGTTAAATGTAGCCCGACGGTAGTAATGTAAATAAAAATTTAAATATGAAATTGAACACAAATATAATGACAATGGCAAATTCAGCATCAAGGTCAACGATTTTCGTAAAACATCGAATATATTGTTACCCTTATAATAAATTAAACTTACGGTCCTCTGAAGACTATTGGCGGAGCTGATAACCATCAGGAAAACAAAAAAAACAAAGTTTAAAGTTCTATGATCAACCGAAGACATCATAAAAATGAAGTAAAATTTAGTATAATAAAAACTCCTTTACTCTCTCTTGACGCGTTAAACGTACACCTAAATAATAATACATTAGTCTCTTTGCTGACATATGAGTAATCTGACAAAACACTTCACAACTTTACAACAAGTAATTTCCAGGAAAACGCTGAAAAACTACATCGCACGCATAGACGCGAAAAGAGTATTATTTTGATAAGATTCTATATGACGAGTTATTTAATGCAGTGCAGAGCACTGAATTGATCGTGCTTATACTGCAATTTTAAGACTAACTATAATTTTACAAGAGTAAAACTGTGAAAGTTATCGAGGTTATGTAGTTGGGAGTGGGGATTGTAAACTAAGCTAAAAAAGTGGTAAAGATAGATACATAAATAATATTTATTTAAAATTTCATTGGATAATATAATTATTAAACGACTTGTCGAAATGTAATTTAATTTTTAATTACTATACGCTTAGCAAAAAGACTTTATGTTAATATATGAATAAATTAATCTGATAAATTATCAACAGTCGGTAAAATAAGGTAAATACAAAATTTTATCATATTAAATTTTTGTCACTCAATTTACAAATAAAACCAGTTTACTATTATATTATTATTTATTATTTATTATTTATTATTTATTATTTTTTATTATTATTGTTATTATTATTATTATTATTATTATTATTATTGTTGTTGTTGTTATTATTATTATTATTGTTATTGTTATTGTTGTTGTTGTTGTTATCGTTGTTATTGTTATTGTTATTATGATTATTGTTATTATTGTTATTTACTATTATATTAATTTACCAATTATTAAAAAAATATTAAAAACTTTATGCATTAAAAATATTATGATTAAGCATCAGGAACCAAATGGCTTATGTGATCATTTTTTAAAGAAAATATAATGCATATATTATAGTCTATATTCAGATTTAGAAATATGAATAACAATTTATATTACATTAATAATTAATGCGTTAAGTATCCAAAATTTTACATTACGTTTTTACATTTACTAACAATTTTCAATTTGTTGATAAATGTATAAATATTAATTCTCTTAATTCAAATACTCGAACTACTTGTACTCAAATGAGTTAATAAAATAAGCGCACAATAGAACTTTTTAAATTATCGATCTTAATATTAAATCTATTTATCTTATCCCTTGCGATAAATACGTCACGAAAGCGTTCTTTTGCTTTTGCATGCAAAACGTTTAATAATTAATCAATGAATGATAAGAATTTTCTTGAAAAATTTAATTAAGACATCGACTCCTATAATACCTTTTACTTTTTTCTTTATTAACTTTCAGTAAGTCAAATGCATTGAATGTGTGAATGCGTGAATCATGTTGTCATTATGGTTTTACAATGCTTCGACGCTCATTGCTTTTTACGAGTAACATGAAATTCACGTAATTAGTATATAAAGTTATTACAGTTTCACCTTTTTATTCGTATTATCCAAGCATTTGAATACGTTGAGTACGTAAAGTTCGTTAAAACAATAACAATCTTATTGATAATTCTGAATATTAAAACATTATAAAATATTAAACCGTTTAAATATGGTTTAATTCAATATCTTCGTTTAAAAGTATGTTAAACACAGATATCAATTAATTCATGCACTTTATATCTAATTTATAATCTTACACTTCTTTATTTTAACTTTTTTTCACTCAGAATTTATAATGCCTTCCTGAAAGGTCACATTATACTTTACAAATTATTTAGTATGCTTTGAATGATAATACAGAACCTAATTATATAAAAATATTTCTTAATTATATTAAAATATTACAGAATGTGGTAACTAAATATTGATTTATAGAGTGATGAATTATTATATGTATAGTATAGTATATATAATGAGTGCTTTTGCAAAACTAATTTATGTTGATATAATAGATGAAATATAAGTTGAAAAAAAATTGTACATATTGTAAATTGTACGATATTCAAAACTTTTTCATATTATTCAAAATATATTATAAACGATATTGTAAAAAAATTTATTGAAAATTCGATAAAAATTTTATATTAACTAAGTGTTTTGAAAAATAATATATATATATATATATATATATCTATAAAATTTCATTAAAAAGTAAGTATTAAAAATGAAATTTGATAGAGGATAAAACAAGAAAAACATCCAATAATATATTTGTTTCGATCTTCATATTTTATCGAAAATGTTTTGAAGTTTTTTTTTTCATAAAAAAGATAGAAGAAATTTTTCATTTTTGTACGGAATTTTATTTACATAATTTATATAATTTACAGTAGAATAAAACAGATAATATTAGTAGACAGATTATTGAACAATGTTGTAATACTTCTAATAGAATTAATGATTACAAATAATATTAATGTATACATATTCGAAAGAGTTTAAATCAATGAGAATTGATAAAATATTCCAATTTCGATAAATGTGTATCGAAAGTATCCGCAAATAATTTAATGTCTCATTGTGATAAGTTCCAATCCAAGTGAATAATTCTTTTATATTTGATGAACAGCGCGTCAATGGTAGGAAACTCGTACCCCATTGGCCTTCGTTACAATCCGCCAACGGTGGTGGAGTTACCAGACCTTAACGCGTTATAATATGAAAAACCGCTTCCTTTCCTTCCTAAATCTGAAAATAATAAAAAATATATACTTAAGGGAATATTTACAAAGCGCAATTCATCAAAATCAATTTTTACATAAAAGCGATGCTACGGGCAAAAATCTGTACTCAAGCGTGTTTATACATTTGAAAAAGAAAAAGTTTCAATGTATTATCTTTCCTCATTTACCTTAATAATTAAATCATTTTAAAGTTTAAAAGGCATTAAATGTAGTGAGATGTAGTCATTTAAACTATTTTTTATGCTATAAACTTTTTCGAAAACATTATAAGCAATGTATTGCGGTCCTCGCGTGTGCATTTCATTTTCATTGTATATATATATATATATATATTTATATATATGGTAAAAATAAATGCAAAAATTATTCGTTTCTAAAGTCCTAATTATAATTTTAATTCATCACTTCATAGAAAGTAATTGTACAACGGTTGATTGATGTAGATACAAACTGAATTTTAAATATACAGTCATAATACTATATAGAATTATATTTATATAAATCTATTATTTGGTAAAGTAAATTTAAATATTTCATATGTAATATTAATATTTTAACAGTCCTCACATTGAATGGGATTTTAAAAAAGTAAAATTTTTATTAATTTTCTACATTAACAATTATAATATTGCTTGTAACAATGAAATATTAAATGAAAATTTTGCACAATTCATTAAAGATTTAAGGTGAAAATAACATTTCAATAATATATTTTACGATACCACTTTTTATATATATTTGTTTAAATAGTATTTTAATTATTTGAAGATTCTATTTAAGTCAATCTATATAGAATAGCCAAGATAGGTAGAATGAGTTCGAGACTTGTTTTAATTCCTTTATTTTAATATTCTGAAGACTATTTTGCAAAATAATAAGCATAAATATTTTCTGTGTTTGTTAGCTCTTACGCTAGAAGCTTTAATACTAAGAAGTCCATTTTTCACCCACACGTGTCCATTACATTTTTCCATTTCTGTAACATGTAAGCAATATAATTTTTGTATTACTTGAAATCAATTGTTTTGAAGAATATCATACATTATACTGTTAACTGCAACATAAATAAATAGAAAATTAGTAGTCAACAATATTGAATACTAATAATATTGAAAATAATATTTACGATACTCTATTGAGTTTACATTTTACTTTAATATTTTGAAAATAATTATGTATAAAAAATAATTATTAAATAATGATAACACTATTCTTAGCTTATTATTTTTTTTTACTTCAAACATTAGTAACGTAATAATAAAAATATAAAGTTCAAGGAGAAGAATTATCTGAAAAATTATAAGAAATTTTTCCCTTTTTTATATATAAATTTTATATTAATATTACAGAAAAATATATTATATATCAACAAAAAATACATAATAAAAAATATATTAACTTTCCTATTAATGTAGGCACTTTTTTACATAATATTTAAATTATTTTTCTTTGATTAAATGGATGTTATTTTCTTAATTATTAATATTTATATATATAAACAAAGAATATTTCTTCCATGCTTTTACTAATTTACCGTTGCGAATGTCTGAAATCTTACATATAACAACACTTAACTAATGGGAATACTAAATTTTTATTTAAAATTATCATGACTTTTATATTACTTTGTTCTATATTTTTTTTTTTTTTACATATATATATATATATATATATATATATATATATATATATATATATATATATATATATATACGCATGTTTAATTCTCATTGCTGTCTTTGTCTTGTTCTATCTCTTTCCGTTTCTGATTATATTTCTTTGTTTTCACTTTTTTCATCTCCGGTTTTTCTGTAGATTTTGATTAACAGACGATTTCATTTTTATGAATATTTAAGACAAATTTTACAATTATTATTAACTGTATTTAAAAATAAAATTTTAAAAACAGTTCACTTTAATTATATTAAATTAAAATTTATCTGAATATATATTTTTTTAATGCATTATAAAAATATTATAATTAAGACAATAAAAATAATTTAATTTGCATGTACAAATACATTGTTATTATCTTTATAAAAAATACGAAAAATACCTTTTCTTTAATTTAAATATTTTATTAACAATATATATATATATATATATATATCCATTTATATTATTTATATTGAGTATATTTTATTTTAAATAATTAAAATTAATCAAACCAATGTATTTACAAGGTTTTATAAAATAAAAAAGTTTTTATGATCTTGTATTAAGCAAATCTATTTTTGTTAGCTATATGTATTGTGCTATATGTATATATTAAATATAATATATATATATATATATATAGTATAATTAAAAAATATGTAAAGAGAATTCATATTACATATTTTTTACAGATATATATTTCATTGCAGATTATCTTAAATTTTTAAATGCAATTTATCTATTTTTATTTTTTGTAGAATTTCAACATAAGTAAGTATCATATGATTTAAATAAATAA